AGTAGTAGAAAATGAAATGAACCAGGATCTTCAATGAATGAGTGAGTGTGTGTGTGCTCAGTCGCTTCAGTCATGTCTGACTCTTTACGACCCTATGGACTCTAGCCTGCCAGGCTCCTCTGTCCATGGTGATTCTCCAGGCAAAAATACTGGAGTGGGCTGCCATGCCCTCCTCCAGGGGATCTTCCTGACCCAGGGATCGAACCTTCATCTCCTGCAATGCAGGCAGATTCTTTATGGCTGAGGCACAGGAGAAGCCCTCAATGAACCATGAGTAGAGGACAGCACAGAGGAAGTCGAGGTGTAACCAGATGGTCTGAAACTTAGAGGAAGGAGAATCAGGGTTGTGTTGTGTGTTTTACCTGAGGGTGAAGGAGGAATCATCTGGAAGTTGTAGTTTGGCTGGAAGAGGATGCCAGGTCACCTCCTGACTCCCCAATACATGTAGTGTCTTGATGTGAATCACTTTCACTGGAAAGGGACGAAAGGGAATTTCCAACCTCAGGGGAGAGCCAGGAATATCAGTGGACATTCAGGGATGAGTTGGAGGATGGGTAGGAGAGTTTGTTAATCTTGGGATGGTGTTCCAGGGAGGTGTCAGAAGCACCTGGAAGTTAAGGTAGAAATGAGAGCTCAGGTGGCAGGAGGAGAAGCACAGAGGCATGTAGGAATGAAGTTAGAGAAGCAGAATAACAACAACAGTAGTTTAATAACAACAATACAAAAAAAGTAACAACAATACAAATAATTTAACAACGCTTTGCATGGGTTGTCTCATTTAATCCTCATAACAGCCTCAGAAAGTAGAGCCTTTATTTTGCAGCTGAGAAGAGAGGCACAAGAGTTTCAGTGACTTGCCCAAGGTCACATAGCAAATAGACTCTACTGGATGCTTACATATTTAAAGTGAAAGTGAAACTTGCTCAGTCGTGTCCGACTCTTTGCAAACCCATGGACTATACAGTCTATGGAATTTTCCAGGCAAGAATACTGGAGTGGGTAGCCTTTCCCTTCTCCAGCGGATCTTCCCCACCCAGGCATCAAACTGGAATCTCTTGCAGTGCAGGCGGATTCTTTACCAACTGAGATATCAGGGAAGCCCCTTGGAAAATGACAAAAGAGAACAGGGATGTGAGTGAGGCACAGTGGGTTTGGCTTACCATGAATTTTGCAAGATGATTAGTTCTGACAGTTCTGGTAAGCAGGGGTCTCTCAGCTCTCCCCAGATTTAACTGTATTTGGGACTGGAGTTAGGAGAGGCTGTCTTGTTGGTGTTCCTTATATTGTTCTGTATGGAAAGATCCAGGCAGTGGCTGGGCCAGTGTATTTTCTCACTTGTGGTCTGCAGAGTGATTGATAGGTGGGGTTAGTGGTGTGGTTCTTAGGTATGTCTTGATCTTGTGGGGGATATAAAGCCAGGCTGCACGGGTCTCTAAAATATAAGGCTGAGGGGCAGTTTGTGGGAAAAGTGACCTTAAGGAAAGGCTTCACAGGCTGCATATTCTGAGATGAGAGATCCATCTCAGGGGATCTGAGGGGTCTCAGGGGTCTGGCAGTGGCCCAATTCTTTCTTGCATTGAAAGCACCTCCCCCAGTGTTTAAAGCTATGGCCCACCTCCTAAAGAAACCATTTTTTTTTTACTGGACACTCTGAAGGGTTTCTTGGTAGCTCAGCTGGTAAAGAATCCGCCTGCAATGCGGGAGACCTGGGTTTGATCCCTGGGTTGGGAAGATCCCCTGGAGAAGGGAGAGGCTACCCACTCCAGTATTCTGGCTTGGAAAATTCCATGGACTGTATAGCCCATGGGGTCACAAAGAGTCAGACACGAGTGAGCGACTTGCACTCACTGAAGGCTATTGGTGCCTTGCTTGTCGCTTGAGGAAGTTGATGAGGAAGAAAAGGAAGCCTTGCTGTAAGCTTCCTTGGGCAGCATTTTTGAGCTTCATGTCAAGATGACCCTAAAAATTCTTTCAAAATTCTGAGATGGCAATACAATCACGCAATGTTTAAAGCTTATTGCAGCTAGGTTACTTGTTTTAGAGTTGGCTGTTCTGTGTCCTGTGCTGCATATACATTGAGGCCTCTTGTAAAATAAACTGAGCAGAACATTTCTGCATCGAATCTAGTAGAGACAGCATATATGCTTAAAACATCAAGGTCCTTTACAACTAGTGTGTGAATAAATGAAGTTCATTGTTTTGATTTTTGAAGAGGTTTCTTTTGGGATATTTCTTCTTTTATGACATGCTGTTTGTTGTAGCAGTGATTTATCTGGAGATGAGTTCTGTCAGGAACAAACCCCCAGTTGCAGTCTTGGAAAAACAGAAGCCACTTTACAATGATCCTTCGAACAACGCAAAACCAGAAACACACTGCAGTGAAAAGTGGACCCTGCTCATGTATCTGTGTAGGTGGGTTATGAATAAAAGTGTTCATGCATGCATACAGAACTAAATATCTCCCTCATTAATACTAATGACCTCACTTGGCATTTGTTATATTAATACTTCAGATTTGGTCTCTGTGATTATCAGAGTATATGAAAGTGGATTAAAATATGTATGCACATATAGCTATATGTCTATTCCATGTATGTGGGATTTGTTATAATTTAGAGTATGTATAATTTCTTTTTCTTTTGTACTTTCTGGCTGTGACTGGCGGCAAGCAGGATCTTAGTTCCCTAACCAGAAATCGGACCCGCAACCCCCTGCAGTGGAAACGCTAAATCTTAACAGCTGGACCACCAGGGGAAGTCCCCTAGAGTATGTATAATTTTTATAGAATTAAACGTTGGCTATTATTTCTAGCACTGCAAATACTCAGCATAATACTTTTTAATAAGTCTAAAATTAGTTCCTGGCTGTCCAGTGGTTAAGACTCTGAACTTCCAAGGCATGGGGCGCGGGTTCCACCAATGGTTCAGGAACAGCTGTGCCTCAGCCAAAAAGTAAAATTAAAAAAAGAAATTAAGAAGTTCAAGAAATTAGGAATTTCATCAAGGTTACTAGTTTGTGCTGTGTACTGAGTTGCTTCAGTCCTGTCCGACTCTGTGTGACCCCATGGACTGTAGCCCGCCAGGCTTCTCTGTCCATGGGATTCTCCAGGCAAGTACACTGGAGTGGTTTGCCATGCCTTCCTCCAGGGGATCTTCCCGACCCACGGTTGGAATTGGTGTCTCTTATGTCTAATCTGCATTAGCAGGCGGGTTCTTTGCCACTAACACCACCTGGGAAGTTTTTAGTTTGGGAGTTCATCAAGTTAAAATTTATTTACTAGTGGAATACATTGTTATTACTATGGTGTTACCATGTTTAGATTGGATGCAAAATATCTGTTTTCTCCCACCTCAAACTGCTTAATAGTAACTTTATGGCTGTTATAATGTATTAGCTGTTCCATGGCAGGCTTCTAGGATGATGTGAGTTGCCAGTAATATTCTCCTGCTTTGTAAGAAGTCTTAGCGGTATAACACTAACTGCAGCTGGGGGTCTGGGCTTCAGTTTTGCATGTTCCTAAACAATATTTTCAATGTTAGGGAGTCAACTAATGCTGGGAAAGCAGATTAATGCTAAAGACATTTACAAGAAACTGATGTATAAACTGAATGACAATTTATTAATTTACAGTTGTTCATGCAGATATGATTTGAAAACAGAGTTCCTTCTGGGCAGAGCTTCATGGGAAGCTAAATTATAATCAGAAGATTGCTGCTACCATAGAATCAAGGCAAGGTGAGTTGTTAGTTGTACAATTCAAACACATAATGCTGTTTGCTGTGATTGTTCCAAGCGTCCATCTCCCCATCAGAGTATTTGCTCCTGGAAGAGACTGCTATATTTGTTTTACAGATCAGTGCACCTTACCCCACCACCTGGGTAGTGCTTATTCAGGTTTTTTATTTTTCTACGCTTTCTCTTGGAGAAGAAAATGGCAACCCACTCCGGTATTCTTGCTTGAAGAATTCCATGGAAGAGAAGCCTGGAGGGCTACAGTCCATGGGGTCGCAGAGTCGACACGGCTGAGCGACTAACGCACGCATGCTTTCTCTGCAGATCAAAACCCTTGATTTGCTCTCCTTTTTAAAATTACAGGTAAAACGTGTTTATCTGTTATCTCTTCAATCAGATTAGTCTAGTATTGATCGCCTAGAGGCCATTCTACCATTCAAGGGAGGTACCTCTTTAGGTTTATAGTTCAACTCACATGAGGGTGAGGCAGGGGACAGTAACCTCGTGAATAATTCTTTGGGGGCACCTCACTGGTCAGTGAACACGGTTGCCGGATTAAAATACAGGACGCTCAATTAAATTCAGATAGCAAGTATTTTTTTTTTTTTAGTCTTAAGTATGGATGAGGTATAGTTATATCTCAAAAAAAAGAAAAAACTCAAAGTATTCATCATTTATCTGAAATCCAAATGTCCTGTACAGGGCGTCCTGTATTTTTATTTGCTAAATTTGGCAAGGCCACGAGTACGTTAACATAATGTCAAGAGGTTTGCCCGGGTTCAAGCTGGTCGGTAAGCACCAATCCATTCGGTTGTCTCAGGGAACAAAACCCATTCCCACGAAAAAGTAAACAGCAGGTAGCAATGAAACTCGGAAGAATCTTGACCCTTTGAGGAACCCGTAGTGACACGCCGGCCTTAACCACGGCTTTGATTGATTGCCCGGTGGGCTCCGTTCTTCTCTTTCTGCTGCTAGAATGATGGCTCTATCTGTCTTCCTTCTCTAGTCCCGCCCTTTCAGCTCTGGATGGGGATCGGTAACCCAGAAAGGGCCAGCAAAAGCGCCGACGTGTTTAGAGGAGCGGAAGTAGTCAAATATCTCTGAACACCGTCAAGTGCAGCTGGCTGTCTCCCTTTCCGGATAAAGACAGCAGCTCCGACTGTCTGTGCCGGCCTCCCTCCTGTAAGGGGATCTGCCGGACCCTTGCTAATTCAGTTTTTCTTCCCATTCCGGGCCCTTCCCTATCGTCGCCCCCTTCACCTTGGATCATGTTCAAGAAGTAAGGACATGCCGTGGCCTCCCTCGGCTGCTCACGAAGGTGGTGGGGGTGGGTGGTGGGGAAGAGGACAAGAGCGAAGATTCTCTTTCTCTCTCCCACGCCCCTGCCATCCTTACTCTTTAAGGTTTTTCTGTAGTACCATGCTCTCAACACTATATGTCTCTGTATGTCTCAGTACTATGCTTGCAACATTTCGTTAAGCTTTTCGTCCCTAATCCTCAATCGGGTTGGGTCCTCCCACTCTCATTTTCTATTTCGTTACCCCTCTTTCTCATTTGCCCCCTTTCCCAGTCCTAGCTCCATTCCTAGGATTCTACCAATCACATCCTTGCACCGTGATTTAGGGACATGCCCTCTTTAGCAAGAGGACAGCCCTGCGCTCTCTGCCATGTGGTTACTAGTTAGGAACTGAACAAGGGAAGGCTTGACTTCCTGGGTCATGGGAGTGAAGGAGTCTGGGTGACAGGAAGCGAGCGGACTGTCATACCTATTGCCTAGCTGCCAGATTAACCTTGTCTTGAAAATAACGTGATTGCTCCATAGGAACCTTGTCTTGAAAATAACGTGATTGCTCCATAGGCTATTCAGTTGAGGAAGACAAAAATTCTTTGGAACGCACCTAGTGGCTTTGCCTTGCAGATTTGGTAGACGCAGAAAGCAAAGGGGGAACATGGGCAAAGGAAGGTGGGTTTTGTGCGTGACATTTTGAGCAAAAATAATTAGGGGTGTTAAATACCGTCATTATCACTTCAAAAAATCTCAACAGATTACATAGCATAGGAGGGGCTGCTTTTCTGTGTTAATGTTTGGGTTGGTCATTTGTATACTAATGCTTGACGGTATTTTCGTTTTGTTTTGGTTTACACAAATTTTGTTATAGGTGGGAATCTGTTTCTTTCTGGGTAGAACTGAGTAAGATTTTCCAGGAAAGGCATTTGTGTAGCTGATTACAGTTTATTGTGTTATATATGCCTCATATCCTTCCCCCTTCCCTGCCCCCCTCCAGCTAATTGTGTGTATATGACAGTTTAATATTGTATTGACATTGGTTTTGTGCTGGACAGAATAAAAGGGAAATTGTATTTTAAAAAGCAATTTCTTCCATAATTATTTTAGACATCTAAATATTTGCTTGGGAATAGGTGAATAATTAAAAAAATACCTTTAGCTATTCTGTTGTGTCTTCTTAGAAATGCTTTTTGTTTTTTCTTGCAAAAATCATTTGGCAGATTTGATGAAAAAGAAAATGTGTCCAATTGCATCCAGTTGAAAACCTCAGTTATAAAGGGTATTAAGAATCAATTGATAGAACAATTTCCAGGTATTGAACCATGGCTTAATCAAATCATGCCTAAGAAAGATCCTGTCAAAATAGTGCGATGGTAAGTCTTTGCTTTTTTTTCTATGTATAACTCACAGAAGCTGAATATAATATGATTGGATTGCACTCATGATAACTGTGATTATCTTTATATTAACTATTTATCTACTCTAAATGAGTAACCCTAAAACTTATCAATATTTGTATTTTCACATGTTTTTCTATGGGAAAAATGTGGCTTTGTGTACTGATTGTTTTATTAAAGAGTTAATTAAATATTTGTTTCAGCTTGTGCTTTAGAGATTTGTTTTATTAATTATCTACCAAGGAAATTAAAATATGTAATAAAATGTGAAATAAAATTTTAGCAGATCATATTTTTCTCTAATGGACTGGTGTTACTTTAAGCAGTGTTTTGTGGGGTTTTTTGGGGGGGCCTGGATCTTTACTGAAATTAAAAAAAACTTACTGTATTTCTATATATGCATACTTCATATTATATATTATTTAAAGGATGTTTGGCATATTCATTTTTGAAAGAAAATATCTAACTTGGTACTTTGTGGTGTTTGTTTTACAGCCATGAACATATAGAAATCCTTACAGTAAATGGAGAGTTACTATTTTTTAGACAAAGAGAAGGGCCTTTTTATCCAACCCTAAGATTACTTCACAAATGTAAGTCTTGTTAGAAAATATGTATTTGGGGATATGAAAAGACACAAAAGGAGTTGAAAGTGACTTCTGGTAGTTAACTTTTTGAAAGAAAAGTGAAAGTGAAGTCACTCAGTCGTGTCTGACTCTGTGACCCCATGGAGTGTAGCCTGCCAGGCTCCTCCGTCCATGGGATTTTCCAGGCAAGCATACTGGAGTGGGTTGCCATTTTCTTCTCCAGGGAATCTTCCTGACCCAGGTATCGATCTCAGGTCTCCTGCATTGCAGGCAAGCTCTTTACCCTCTGAACCACCAGGGAGTCCCACAGTTAACTTACTAGTACTAGGTTATATGGAATATAAAACTAAAACGATTTCCCCCTTCTCCATCTTGTGGTAAATCTGAAAAATGCATATTCTCTCATTATGCATTCCAAAAGCCCAAGAAAGAGCATTCATTCATTTAAAAAATATTTATAGTTTTTGAACTTATTCTGTGCCAGGCACTGAGCTAGGTATTGAGAATGTGATAGGAAGCAAAGATAGACATGGCCCCTGTCCCTAGGAAGCTAGCAGTCTAGTGAGGTGAATAGACAACAATTAGATAATTACACATATATATTCACAAACTGTGTAATTGCTGTAAACTTTTTTTTACATCTGTATCCAGATTTGCTTCATAGAGATAATTCTATATAAGGGAAAGCATGGAGTCCCAGTTCTTAGTAGTGCCAAGGCCAGGTGTTAAGAAACAAAATAATGTTTGTTATGTACCCGCATTTGCATGTTGTTAGATTGATTACATTGCAAAATAAAACCCAAAGGAAGCTGCTATCCCAGTGTACAAGAGTTTTGCAACTGTAAGTGAAATTTCTCCTTTTTAAGCCAGTATGTGTCTGGCATGTATGCTTATTTGGTGAAGCATTGTGTCTGAATCCAGTTTTTCTATATGTTAAGCATTTTCATGATAAGTTGGAAGAAAAAGATGTTTCTATTTAATAATATTTTGCTAGGAACCAACCTTTTAGAACATCTTAAAGTTACTCTTGGGAAGAAGCAGGATGATATGGTAGTTAAAACTGTGAACTTGGAGTCAGGCAGATCTAGGCTTAATTCCCACTGCATGTCACTTTTGTCAAGCTACTTAACCTGTTTAAGCTTTGTTTCCTCATCTTTGAAAATGGACACAATTGTATGTTATATCTCCCAGGGTTGTGAGAATTAAATGAGATAGTAACACAGATATAATGCACCTAACACAGTACCTGGAACATAGTAAGTGGTCGATATATTATAGCCACTATTATGATGCAGTAATTGTTCAGTAAATGTCCATCCACTACTGCTACTTGTCATCATCCCCATGATCTGGATCATCATCATAATTATTATTAAAGGGCAAATATTAATAAGGATGAGATCTAGAAAAGAAATTATGACTTCTGAGTAGTAAACACATTCATTTATTCAGGTTCCTTTTTATCAGTAATATGTTTTAATTAATTTGGAATGTGTTTAATTTCTAGTCTTGGTAGGAAAAAGACTTATTTGCTCTCTGACTAATGGGAAGGCTATTGGTAAGACATTAAAGTGATTACATTTTACCAATTATTATTATTCCTAGAGACTCCTGAGAGGTCTAAAAAGTTTTTCTCATAGTTATTGTTTTAAATCCTTCAGGGATTTAGTTGTTAGGTTGTGAATTATTAGCTGACACACGTATGTGCATGCGAAGTCGACTCTTGGCGACTCTCTAGACTGTAGCTCACCAGGCTCCTCTGTCCATGGGATTCTCCAGGCAAGAATACTGGAGTGGGTTGCTGGGCCCTCCTCCCAGCGATCTTCCCAACCCAGGGATTGAATCCGCATCTCTTACATCTCCTGCATTGGCAGGCGGGTTCTTTACCACTAGTGCCACCTTGGAAGCCCAGTAGAAACATATACACACACACAAATAAATTTTTTTTAGGATTATAAAAGGAATATGTGTTCAGTCTAGATATCTGGAAAATACAGAAGTAAAATCACTTGTATTCCCATGACGTAGAGGTAACTTACCATGGTTAGTATATCAGTGTACTTCCATAGCATTATTTCCAATATTGTGTGTGTCTGTGTGTCATGTGTAAATGCATATCTTTTCCTTTTTTAAAATTAATAAGCTTTTTTTTAGAGCAGTTTTTTACACTTTATTATGGAGTATAGCTGATTAACAATGTTGTGATAACTTCAGGTGGACAGCAAAGGGACTCAGACATACATATACATGTATCCGTTCTCCCCTAAATTCCCCTTCCATCCAGGATCCAGGCTGCTGCATAACATTAAACAGAGTTCCCTGTGTTTTACAGTAGAACCTACATGGTTATCCATTTTAAATATAGCAGTGTGTACATTTTGATCCAAAATTCCCTATCACCTCTCCCATCCTTTTCCTCCTCCAGCAACCACATTCTGTAAGTCTGTGAGTCTGTTTTTGTTTTGTAAATAAGTTCATTTGTATGATTTCCTTTTAGATTCCACATATAAGGGATGCCATAGGATATTTCTCCTTTGTCTGACTTACTTCATTCAGCATGACGATCTCTAGGTCCAGCCATGTTGCTGCAAATAGCATTATTTCATTCTTTTTTTATGTCTGAGTAATATTCCATTGTATATATGCACCACATCTTCTTTATTCATTCATCTGTTGTTGGACATTTAGGTTGCTTCCATGTCTTGGCTATTGTGAACAGTGCTGCAGTGAACATTGGGGTACATGTATTCTTTCAGACCATGTTTTTCTATGGTTATATGCCCAGGAGTGGGATTGTAGGGTCATATGGTAGCATTAGAGTAGTTTTAGGTTTACAGAAAAAATTAACAGAAAGTACAGAGAGTTCTCATATACTTCCTTCCCTCTCTTCTTAATATCCTGCATTGGTGTGCTTCATTTGTTACAATTGATGAGCCAATATTGATATATTATTATGTATATTATTATAATTAATGAAGTCTATAGTTTATATTAGGGTTCATTCTTTGTGTTGTACATTCTGTGGTTTTGTCAATTGCATAATGTCATATATCCATGGGCTTCCCTGGTGGCTCAGTGGTAAAGAGTCTGCATGCAATGCAGGAGATGTGGGTTTGATCCCTGGGTCAGGAAGATCCTCTGGAGGAGGGCATGGCAATGCTCTCCAGTATTCTTGCCTGGAGAATCCCATGGACAGAGGAGCCTAGTGGGCTACAGTCCATGGGGTCGCAGAGTCAGACATGACTGATGTGACTGAGCAGGCACTGTATCCACTGTTATAATATCTTACAGAATAGTTTCACTGCCCTAAATATCCCTTGTGTTCTACCTACTCACCCCTCCCACCTCTTCCCCTCCTCCAACCCTTAGCAACCACTGATCTTTTTGGCAATTTTTATCGTTTTTTTTTTTCACTCATCATATATTATGAATATTTCCCAGGGTATTACATATTCTCCAAAAACATGGTTCTATTGTACAGATATTATACGTTAAGTCATTTATCTCTTAATTGTTGGACATTTAGGTTGATTCCAGTTTATTTCTAATATAAATATTAGTGCTATAATGAGTATCTTTCTACCCAAATACATTGTGCATTCCTCATTTATTTCTTAGGGTAAGGTCCTAGAAGTAGAATTACTAAATCAAAGAGCTTGAACCTTTTCAAGGCTGTTGGTACATATTGCCTAGTAGTCTTAAAGAAAGCCTGTACCTATTTATAAGCCTTCTAGCAGTAAATGGGAATGCCAGTTTTCTGACATTCTTGCTAGCACTGAGAATTACTTTTCTCAAAAATATATACCAATTTGATAAGGGAAGGAATGTGTTTCAGTTTTATTTTGCATCTGTCAAAGTACTATAATTTCGGGAAATATTTGTTCATGTCATTTGCCTTTTTCTGTTGAGTCTTTAGTTTTCTTAATTGGTGTAATGTATTTCTTTTCTTCTAGATCCTTTCATCCTGCCGCATCAGCAGGTTGACAAAGGAGCCATCAAATTTGTCCTCAGTGGAGCAAATATCATGTGTCCAGGCTTAACTTCTCCTGGAGCTAAACTTTACCCTGCTGCAGTAGATACGATTGTTGTATCCTTCCCAGGCTCTGCTGAAAAATGTGTTCATTGTATTCTTGTTATCACTGAAAGAGCTAACATCCAAGAGAACATTAGATGTATTTTTTTGGAAGTTACTGTTGTATCTTTCTGCTTACATTTGAAGATGTGGGAAGCAACATTATTTTGTGTTAGAAGTTAAATGATAACAAGTAATAAAAAGAGTCCCAGCTGCATTTTCAGCTCTGCTAGGGCCCAGTGTTATGAGACTTGGGACACAGTATGAAACTCCTGATTATTAATAGAGGTTTTATATGATATGATTGAATCACTTATTTGAACATCATCTTGCTACTTTTACATTTGAATTACCTTGGGAAAAAAACATTCAAAAGGGAAAAGAATTTAGGCATCAGGTGGAATGTTGGTGAATAGTATGAACCATTGGCAATCCCTATGGCTTTATTTTAAAGTCCCAATGAACTTTTATTTTAAAATTCATTTTTAACTTGGTTGTTTGGGCCTTGGAACATGTTTTCTCAAAGAGAAACGTTGACGTCAGAAATAGCCCTTAAGAAGTTATTCAACTCATGATATAGCTGAATAATTCTGCATTCCTTCCATTTCTCTGGTGTTGTTTCAGCTATATTCTAGATTAGTTTTTTGTCAACTAATCTGGACAGGATGACATCTTCTCTTTTGTCACAGATAAAGTGACCATTTGCCTCAGGTTGAGGAAAGGAACCATATTTGGTGGGAAATCACTGGAATGGGAAGGCCATTGGAATGGGTTTAAGAGTGCTCAGAGGAGGGGGTCCTCTCTTGTGGAAGTTATATCTAAGGGGTAATATAAGTTGTATATCTTAGGAACAGCTTGTATTGACATAGATACTGGTCACATAATAGGTGTTCAAATATGTGTGGAACATTGAAGGAAGGAATGAATGAACTGAAAACCAATGGAGAAAAAGTATTCTCTGAGGACAGGTTACCCTTTAATATTTATGATTGCTCTAAGTTTCTAAAGTTTATAAAGTTCTGGAGTTTCCCCTAAATGGAAAATTTTCCTAGTATCTGGCCTTTACTTTTTAAATTACTTTTATTTTGAAATAATTATAGACTGTTGGAAAGCTGCAAATCTAGTACAGAGAGGTGCTGTGTACACTTGAAACACTGAAAATATGGACTGTACTGTTTACCATTTTAGATACTTCAAATAAACCAAGAACATTCTGTTTGTTCTGGAGAGATTGCAACTTACATTGGGCTCTTAAAGATAGGGGATATAATTATTGTTTTAATGTATCCTTTATATAAAACCACCATTTAGTGATTAAAGCACTAGAACAATTGATATTTATTTCTTTTTAATATTTATATGCAAAAAATTTTATCTCCTTTTTTGCATGATTTCTTTTTCTTCTCCTCCTCCTTTTGTTGGCATTGGGTTATAGTATTAGCATTTGATCCAAAAATCAAGAATGATTTTTCGATTACATTCATTTAGCATTTATTGAATATTTGCAGTGTGCCCATAAATGGTGCTAGGTCCTTGCCTTCAAGGAGTTAATGGACTAGGTGAAAATGCAAGTTGGGTTCCCAGTGGCTTAAGCAGTAATGTGACACCCCCTCTTGAAGGTATTTTGATAGATAAATGGTTTTCTTAGCTGTGTGTTTTCAGGCAATCATGGCAGAAGGAAAACAGCATGCTCTGTGTGTTGGAGTCATGAAGATGTCTGCAGAAGATATGTAAGTCTCCTGTTAGTCCCCCTTAATTTTTCAGATATAGGTAACCTATGCAGTAAGGGGCTTCCCAGGTGGCACTAGTGGTAAAGAACCTGCCCACCAATGCAGGTTAGACATAAGAGATGCTGGTTCGATCCCTGGGTTGGGAAGATCCCCTAGAGAAGGAAATGGCAGCCCACTCCAGTATTCTTGCCTGGAGAATCCCATGGATAGAGGAGCCTGGCAGGCTATAGTCCATAGGGTCACAGAGAGTCGGTCACAACTGTAGTGACTTGGTGCACATGCAGGAGGAATCAGAATTACAGGTGAACTTTGCTCTCGTTCATACCACATCTTACAAATGTTTACACACAGAAGCCTCATTTCTGATTTTTCCTAAGATTTAAGAAGCCATTGAAAGTTATTTCCTCTCAAAGAGATTGCATTCTTTATTTAGCGCTCTGAAAAGAACCTGTGTGCCAACACAGCTATATTATATGTATGTGTGTGGTATTTTAGGAATGTTTTTAATTAGTGTGATTTCACTTAGGTGTGGGGAAAGGTATTTTGCTGCTGGTTTTTAAAAACAGTGACATAATTTAGTGCCACACAGTATTTATCTTGTATTTTCACCTGGTGGCATAAAATACTAAGGAAATATTAGTGATATATTACCAAAACATTGGCTTCCCTGGTGGCTCAGCTGGTAAAGACTCTGCTTGCAGTGCAGGAGACCTGAGTTTGATCCCTGGGTTGGGAAGATCCCCTCAAGAAGGAAAAGGCTACCCTTCCCAATCCAGTATTTTTCCAGTGTATTTTCCAGTATTCTAGCCTGGAGAATTCCATGGACTGCATAGTCCATGGTGTAGCAAAGAGTTGGACATGACTGAGTCACTTTCACTTTCAGTTTACCAAAATATAGTCAATATGCTTAAAAATGTTGGACTCATTTGATGACCAAATTATTCCTACTACTGTTGTTTCAGGGTTAATTATAACACTTTCATGTTCTCCTGATCTGGTAACATCATTACTCTGTTTCTGTGATCCTACTAGTTAGATCACTAGAATTCCTTTAAGGCATGAACTTCAGCAGAGTAATGTAGTTTAATGTAGATGATCATGTTAGTGTAATATAAGGAAATTCCCTATATATGGCTCAATAATTGCAAAATAGCAATGCACCCTGAATTACATTTACTATGAGTAAGCCTGTAAAAGTACTTAACAACATGTTTATGTGCTTTATTCCTTCTGCAGTGAGAAAGTCAACAAAGGAATTGGCATTGAAAATATCCATTATTTAAATGATGGGCTGTGGCATATGAAGACATATAAATGAGCCTCAGAAGAAATGCACTTGGGCTAAAAATGGATATTGTGCTGTTTCTGTGTTTGTGTCTATGTGTGACAGCATGAATACAATACCTCTGTGGTTATGCTGAATAAATTCAACAGATGCTAAAATTCTGTTAGCTCCAAAAATTATTTTAATTTTTCTTAAACTCAAGTTAAATTTGGGTTGCAAAATTGGACATTAAAAGGTAGCTGGTAAGTAACCAAACTTAATTAAAATAACTTAATGTCCTTTCTTAGGCTAATGATGCAAGATGAAGGGCAAGACTTGGTAAATGAACTTGCTAGTATATGGCTGATGCCTCAGAAAATCTGACCAATTAATGGGGCTGGAAGCTAGACTGGTTTGAGCCTCCCTCCCACCTCCCCCCATCCCACCCCTCTAGGTTGTCATGAGCACCAGGCTGGGCTCTCTGTGCTATACATTGTCTTCTCACTAGCTATCTATTTTACACATTATAGTGTATATATTAGACTTGGATTTTTATCCCATTACCCAAGGGCACCTAGAAGTGCCCCTTCTCTTTTATGTATGTTTTTAGTTTGGTTGCTATTTCCATTTTTAAACTTTTCATTATGAAAAATTCTGAGCATAGAAAAGTATGGGTAGATAGTATATTGGATTTTCTAATCCATCACCCAGCTTCAATTCATGGCCGATATTGTTTCGTCTCTGTCTCACTCCTTCCCACCGCACTCCCCAATTATTTTGAAGCAAATCTCAGATATACCATTTCATCCATAGTTTCTTTAATATGTATTTTTAAAAGATATGTTTTCTTTTAAAAAAACCCACAATATCATTATCACACCTAAACATTTAGCTATTTCTTAATATTATCAAATATCTGAACTGTGTTCAGATATGTAACAAATAGACTTGTTTCTCTTTTTATTTATTTATTTTTCTTTTTATTTTTTTAATCATTGGTTTGCTTGAAGTTGGTATCTGCCAAGGTTCTTATATTGCATTTGGTTGCTATTTATTTGTCTCTTTTAATCTATAAGTTCCCCCTCCTTCGTTTTCCCTTTAAATTAATTATTTAAGAAATCTAGTTGTTTTGTCTTATAGTTTCCTGTCACATTCTGGATTTTGTTGATTGTATCACTGTAAAGTAATTTAACTTGTTTTTATACTCCTTGTATAGCCCGTAAACAGATAGACTTGATTAGATTCTGGTTCAATGTATTTAATGCCCTCTCTTGAAGCTGGGGGAACTCATACTCCACAGATGCCCAGAACTTCCAGATTTGAGTCACTACTGAATTCCTCAAAGGATGTGTATCTCTTATCATAAGTAGCATGTGAAGACTATCAACCTACTTCAGTAAGAACAGTAGGCTGTTTTGAGAATTAAATAGCAGTTTTGAATTTATATAGTGATAACAGGTCTTTCTTCCTAATAACATTGCTGTTATGCTATGTCTCAGCCATTTTCATTTGGTTGTTGACAAATATACTACATGTGATTTTATTTTTCAGATGGATACAGACATTTACAAGATTTACAAGACCTGTGTTACAGTTAGAAGTTGGTGAGAAAGGTGAGGGTGGATAGTAAAAAGAGAGATACCATTGGCCTGGCTGTTGCAGCTGGGTCTTCACAACATAGGTGAAGGGTATAGACCCAGGGTCTGACTCAGATTGAGAAACTATTTCCCACAAAACCTGTAAGACTTGGAGATTCCCATGTTAGAATGTAAGTGTATTAATTTATAGTAGTAAGTCTGCTTAGGGTAAACAATTAGTAAACAGGAGGTTTCTTGGTGAAGATGGATTAGAGTAAAGGAAGGTTGATAATTTGGGGGAGTCTTTCATCTGGGGTAGGGCTTGGAGAAATTTTCCTCCTTCATCATTAATTAGAATGCTTATGACTGCCAAAATCTTTCTTTCTTAGCCCATAGATATGCCCTGATATTTTTCTTCCTATATCCTTTTTAAGTCCTATGCATTTTACTTTGTTATGACAGTTACATTCTACAACTTGCTATATTTTTAATATTTTATTATTTATTCCTGGTGGATAAAAGTGTAAATAATCTGATTGGTGGCATAAGTCATTTATGTCAAAACCAAACTTTGAATCTTTATTCTTGGTACTAAGATAATGTTAGTTGACCAAAATTGCTGGTGGAGTGTTAGCGATGAAAAACAAAGCACACACACGTATTAGAGAAATTTTGATTGTGAGGGTTCAGAAATAATTGATCCATGTTTCTGACCACGGTTACAGTGGGTATAGGGAACACTTTTAAAATATTCAACATCATCTGTGCTTGTTTTTCTAATATGTTCAGGTACATTGACTTTGTTGCCTTGGTGATGTGGGCTAAATATGTACATTTCCTACTTCCCCCGGGTCTGAGGCCTCAGGTCATGGAGTTAATTGGGGGTGTGATTCCACAGGTGGGAGCCCAGTCAACCAATTCAAAGAGGTTGAACTAGCAGGTATATCACCTCTTGATGCACTGTGCATAAAGGAAACTTAGTTTACCCATATTCCTGAGAGTAGGAATGTGGAGAGAGCCTGTTTTCTCATAGGTAATGTGTCTTCAGTTCACTTGTAGTTTGAAAATTACTTTTGTGTCAGGCAACCTACAGTCTAGTCATTTTTGTGCACTTTTCCTCAGCCAAGGTCAGTTCAGCTCACTGGACATTTATTGAATATCCATTAGGTTCTAGGTGTGTGGCACAAAGATGAATAATAGACAAGTTGCCCTTGCCCTTAAGGAGCTTCCAGGCTAGTGAGTAAAGTTACATTTTAAAAAATCTGGGTAGTGGTGACAGCCCAGTACCAATTTATAAAGCTAGCAGGTGTAAAGTAATTAGCCTCCAACTAATAAAAAAAATAAATAAAAAAAATAAAAAAAAATAAAATGTATCCTGAACACTCAAAAAAAAAAAAAAGCTAGTAGGAAGTTACTAATACATTTCTAATTTCAGTCATCAAAACTTACAAATTATACATGAACCAAATATAAACATATTCCTTTGATTGTATCCACTGTGAGGTTAAAAAATCCAGGTGTCTTGAAGTTGCAACAGTTCAACATTCCAACTCAGATAGTTGTCCCGTTTTGCCATAGTTTAAAGACCCCGTCAGCCCTCTTCTAGCAGACTGACTATTATAGTAGTTTGGCGGTGCTTGGTTGGCAGCTGCATTTTTCCTTTTCTTAATGTTCTGGACCCAAAACAAGCAGCTGGATTTAGCTAAAGGACAGCCATGAACATTTCCAATTGGAGAGATTTGATAGTCCCCAAACATAAAGTCAGATGGCATTTGTCAAATGATTATATTCAGCCCAGTTCCCCCTGCACGTACAAATCAGCTCCCAAGGATACAGTATCTCTAAGCAAAGTACCTCAGAAGATATAAGAATGGTAAATGACTAAATTTACAGAGGTATTTCATTATAATAAGTATTTCACCCTTTTGTTGTTCATGAGACTATTAATTATGTAGCAATTGTATATTAATGGGAATATGAAATGAATGTATGCCCAAACAAAATGTGGTAAATATTTTAACTTTGTTTATCTAGGTTCATTAATTTTGAGAATACATTTCTCAAGGCTCTTCAGGAAACTCAAAATGTTCCAATTTCTAAAGGAGCATCTACTGAAACTGATTTATGATGAGAGAAAAAACAGAAAATGTATGTATACATCCTGTGTCAATATAACCATCACTTCTGAGGTCTGAAGCAATCAGAAATTTACTGAGTTATTCAATAACCTGTAAGAATTAGGCCATTAAAATATATTTTGAAAGCCCTTCAGAATGCTTATGTTTAGTATGTCATTAATTGTATCAGGGCAGTAAAAATTACACTAAAGATACTTAATACCCTAGTCTCTCAGCAATACTCCTAAAGAAATCTTGCCTGTCAATGTGGAGATTGATGCATGTAAATGTTTATTTGTATTCTATGTTTTTATGCATCATGTGTATACTTTATTATGCTTTGTTTTATAGCAGGTAAAAGCATAAGTAGATATAATGAACTATAATGCTAATTTATTTGATATTGTATTAAAAAATTTTTAATTAAGTACTTGTAAAGGACTACAACTCCACCAGAACAGGAGTGAATGAACAGGATTGAGAACCAGTTTTAAAATCTATGTTGAAACTATCAGGCTGGTTGGTCAGTTGGTATAGGAGCTGGCTTCCTGGAGAATATAATTTATATATGGAAAAGGACATGGAGATGATTCACAGGAATTTCTACTAATAATATCATGTTCATTAGAACAGGTCATGGGGAGGAAAAATAGATAAAAACATCCAAACTAATTGTACTATTAAAGATTTGCCTCTTGGAGTGAAAAGTTAAAGTGCACCAAATTTTGTCCCTGAACATTTTGAGAAATAAAAGGATTAGTGAAATAATTTTTTATATTTCTTCATTTATTTGGCTGTGTCAGGTCTTAGTTGTGGCATGTGAGATCTTCCTTGTGTCACCACATCAACTCTAATTGTGGCACATGGGCTCGAGAGCACACGGACTCAGTAGCTGCAATGTGCAGGTGTAGTTGCCCTGCAGCACTTACATAAGCAAACTTTAGAAAGACTTCAGTCATGCAAAAGCATACTTTTTCCTCATCCTGGATAAGCCAACTCTCTAAGAAAGCCTACAGGGCAAAAAGGACTCCTCGTAGCTCAGTCAGTAAACAATCTGCCTGCAATACAGGAGATCTGGGTTCGATCCCTGGGTCAGGAAGATCCCCTGGAGAAGGAAATGGCAACCCACTCCAGTATTCTTGCCTGGAGAATCCGATGGACAGAGGAGCCTGGCAGGCTACAGTCCATGGGGTTGCAAGAGTCAGACTCAACTTAGCGACTAAACCACCACCACCCATCCTCCACACCCTGCCCACTTTAATCCAGATGCTTAAGTGAACAGTGAATTTCGACTTTAAAAAATGAATTCTGTTCCAACTAATAAAAATAAATGAAAAAATAAATAAATAAATAAAAGAAGAGACCTAAAACAAAAAGAATTCTGGATGGGGCAGCATTAGAACTGATAACAGTATCCAGATTAACAAGTACATACAAAATCTTTCAGATCATGAAAAACTAAAAATCTGTTAAAACATCAATATGATGAAACAGACATTCCATGCCTCACAGATAGGGAAACAAAAGTAGAAGTTAAGCACATGCAGCTTTTAAAAGCTGTCTTGGGACTTCCCTGGTGGTCCAATGGTCTTACCTTCCAATGCGGGATGTGGGTTAAATCCCTGGTCAGGAAACTAAAATCCTGTAAAAAGCTCAACCTGAACTGTATTTGAATATATAGTACAAACAGCTTCATTTAGTGGGATAACAGCAGTCTCTAACTCATCAAATTAACCTCTATCTCCTAAATAACTTTCAAAAAAGCACATGACTGGAAGGTAATTTATCACTGGCAATGCTTTATTCTGCTTAAAAAATACTAGGGGCTAAACTGTCATAAAAACTTGTAAGCTTACACTGCACTTATTTTGTGTTTTACAGGGTAAAAATTCTTATGTTTTGTAAAATGTTTTTAAAGGAGTCCATAAAGTAATTCTGCTTTCTTGCTCCCAAATGCAGAGGTCTGAGAGAAGGCACATGGCCTCGTGAGCTTCTTGGTATTGTCAAATCCAGTTCTCTCTCAAGTACCAACTGACCAGATACTTTTACTGTGGATGGAAAAGTCTTAACTAAAGCAGTAGTTTTTTTTTTTTTTTGATATAGAGAAGCATCTTCCCTGGTGATCCAGTGGTTAGGACTCTGCATTCTAATGTGGGGGGGTGCTGGTTTCATCACTTCGGGGAGCTAAGATCCTACGTGCCTCATGGCCAAAAAACCAAAACCAAACAAAAGAGACTGAGAGAGAGAGAGAGAAGTATCTTGATTAAAGTGTGAGGAGATAGAAATCATATTAATTTGGGCAATTTCGGCTCCAATAATGTCTAATTTGCTGTGAAAGGGGAACATGTATTAGGCTAATGTTCTTCAAAAGAACTTCCAGTTTTCTCCTTAAAAAATATTTACTTTATTAAAAAGTTGCTCAAGGAAGAATTGTTTTATTGCATGGCACAGATTCAGTGTAGAGATGTTACCTTAGAACTATTAATGAAGGAGTTCCCTTGTGACTTTGAATATTCAGTACCAGCTGTTATTCACATCAATATTTTAATATTTTATCAGAAAGATACTTAATAAAAAGGATTGATACATATTTAACTGTGTAAAGTGCTAGTTAAACTTGTTCAAATGGGCCAGAGGGAGAGGGAAGTAACATTCCTTGAGTACCTATTGTATATATAAGCTCTATTTATATATCTTGCTTGATCTTTATGACTGCTCCATGAGGTAGATTTTATTTATTTTTATAGATTTATTTGACTGCACCAGGTCTTAGTTGTGCCACACAGGATCTTTAGTTGTGGCATGTGGGATCTAGTTCCCCGACCAGGGATTGAACCCGGGCCCTCTGCATTGGGAACACAGAGTCTTAGCGACTGGACCTACCAGGGAAGGCCCTCCATGAGGTAGATTTTAATTCTCATTTTGCAAACGAGGAAACAAGGGTTAACTTTCCTGAATGTACATGGCTAATAAATGGCAGAGTTGGGATTTGAACCTCATTTCAACTTGATTGCTCAGCCTATTTTGCAGAAAATCTCCCCTCATATTTTATAAAATGTTAGTCTCAGCCCTCAGTTGCATCACCATCTTTGTTTATGGGCTACTGGAGATAAGTTTAAGTTGGCCGAGCCTGTATACCACAGTGGGAAAATATGAGTAGGATTAGAATGAGGTAAGAGTGGGTGGCTGCCTAGCCTGGGTAGCTAAGATAGTAAAGAATCTGCCTGCAGGGGCTTCCCTGGTGGTCCAGTGATTAAGAATCCACCTTACAGTGCAGGGACATGGGTTGATTCCTGAGCTGACATCTCACAGACCGAAGGGCAACTAAGCCTGGGTGCCCTAGAGCCATGCTCTGCCACAAGAGAAGCCACCTAAATGAGAAGCCCATATGTACCACAACTAGAGAGTAGCCCTCTCTTGCCACTATTAGAGTAAGCCCATATGCAGCAACAAAGACCCAGCACAGCCATAAATAAATACATACTTAAAAAAAAAGAGAATCTCCCTGAAAGCAGGAGACATGGCTACAGTCCTGGGTCAAGAATTTCCCCTGGAGGAGGGCTTGGCAACCCACTCCAGTATTCTTGCCTGGAGAATCCCATGGACAAGGAGCCTAATGGGCTACAGTCCATGGGGTCGCAAAAGAGTTGGACACGACTGAAACCGCTAAATAACAGCAACAATATAAGGGAAAAGGCTGAGGGGTCTAATTTATATTTCACTCCAGATCTACTGAGTTAATTCTGAGAAGCAGTATCCAATGATACTTCGTTGTGAGAAGGAAGATCCAGTAATGGAAATGGTACAAGGAGATGGCCTGGGGCCTGCTAAAAGTCAGGTTGCAATTTCCATAGCATTCAAGACAAAAAAAAATAAACAGCTCTTTAAGAAGAAACTTCAAGTTTTCTCCATTCATATGTCAGCCCCAGGGTGGGATGTTGGCTGACACTTCTAGAATTGGTTAGACCCGTGTTGTAACTGTAAAATACACACTGGGTTTCAAAGACTTAATAAAATAATGTAAACTATCCCTCTTTTCTCTCACTTATACATTGAAATGACAATATTTTGGATATATTTTGGTTAAATAAAATATAATATTAAAAGTAATTTCACCTGTGTTTTTAAATGTGGCTAATATTAGTGGAAATTTTTAAACTACACATGTGGCTTTCATTTCAATTGGATGGCACAGGGATGGAGAATGGGCAGTGTTCCTTGAAGTTTTCTTCTAGAGGTGAATACCTTAGAGTGGTAAATAGGGAAAAGAAGATTCTCAGTGCCAGTATTTAAAGGCTTCCATCAGTGGGATGGATAAAGTGGGGGACTATGACTGACATATACACACTACTATGTACACTAATAAGGACCTACTGTACAGCACAGGGAACTCTACTCAATACTCTGTAATAACCTCTGTGGGAAAATAATCTAAAAGAATGGATATATGTATAACTGACTCACTGTGCTGTACACTGAAACTAACACAACATAGTAAATCAACTCTACTCCAATAAAAATTAATTAAAAAAATAGTCTTCCATCAAGTTAGGACTGGACTGTAGCTGGCCAGGTTCCTCTGTTCATGGAATTCTCCAGGCAAGAATACTGGAGTGGGTTGCCATTTCTTTCTCCAGGGGATCTTCCTGACCCAGGGATCAAACCCGGGTCTCCTGCATTGCAGGCGATTCTTTACTGTCTTAGCCACCAGGGAAGCCCCAAGTTAGGACCACTTTTTCCTCCTGATGGTATGGGCCTGGTGTTTTGACTATTAGAACATCCCAATTCTACACTTTGAATACCTTTGTAGATGTCTCTTATCACTTATTCATTAGAAGCACAGCTTACTTTTTTTTTTTTTCCAAATATAAGCCTGTCACATAATTAAGGGCATCCTTCCTCACTCCTGGACTTCCCTGGTGGCTCAGTGGTAAAGAATTTGCCTGCAATGAAGAAGTGAAGTGAAGTAAAAGTCGCTCAGTGGTGTCTGACTCTTTGTGACCCCATGGACTATACAGTCCATGGAATTCTCTGGGCCAGAATACTGGAGTGGGTAGCCTTTCCCTTCTCCAGGGGATCTTCCCAATCCAGGGATCGAACCCAGGTCTCCTGCATTGCAGGTGGATTCTTCACCAGCTGAGCCACCAGAGACCTGGGTTCAATCCCTAGGTCGGAAAGATCCCTGAAGGGTATGGCAACTCACACAAGTATTCTGGCCTGGAGAATCCCATGGACAGAGGAGCCTGGCGGGCTATAGTCCATGGGGTCACAGAGAGTCAGACACAAGTGGGCACATGCAGCTTCTCACTCCCATCCATCCATCCATTCATAGAAAATCTTAGTTTTATTTTTAGGCCCTGCTCTTCCTGCCAGGTCTTTCACTAAATTGCCAAAGCAATGGCAAAACCAGTGTGGCCATCCTTGCACAGAATCAGTGAAAGCTATCAAAGAAATGGGAATAATATGGGTTAAGAGAAACGGAACTTATCAAAATGATTTTTAAGGAAAAAAGGACCACCATATTCTAGTAGTAAACAATGGCTTGTTTTATTGCTCATGCAAAGCTTATACGATATGATTGTTTGACTGCCTGTATGAATCATGTGTTGGGCCTTTTTGCTTTCCAAAATAACCAGGTCTAGTGTTGAGCTAATGGATACTCAGTATATGCAAGGAATAGTATAGTGTAGATTCCACACTAATAAAAGTGGACTTTCCTATTATGCTAGAGACCCCAGATATACACCATCATTTCATACTTTCTAAATAAGTAATTTCCTCCATTGTCCTTTGAATACAGTATTTTACCTTTGATTATATTGGAATTATTTTTCTTTCATTAGACTTTGGGGACTCCTTTGTGGGAAGGTTGGCAAAAATTTCTGATTTTTTTTCTATGCCAAAAAAAAGCTAAATTTTTACAAACAGGCTCTTCACATAACCACTGAGACATGCAATGAATGCATGAATCCAAGTGAGCTGGCACTAAAAGGAACAGAATATTTTTTTTTTATTTTTTATTTATTTACTTATTTATTTATTTTTTTTATCACAACCATAGTGTATCTTTTTTTTTTTTTTTTTACATGTATTCCCCATCCCGGTCCCCCCTCCCACCTCCCTCTCCACCCAATCCCTCTGGGTCTTCCCAGTGCACCAGGCCCGAGCACTTGTCTCATGCACCCAACCTGGGCTGGTGAACTGTTTCACCCTAGATAATATACGTGTTTCAATGCTGTTCTCTTGAAACATCCCACCCTAAAAGGAACAGAATATTTTAAACGAGTGGAAAATTAGTGGGACATCACTACTAAACTGTGCTTTCAGTAACTTTTCTAATACAGGTATTCCCTGCTTTAAGAAAGCCCAATAGATGGGTTTGTTTAAATGCATTACAGAAAAATCTGGATATTATAAATCAGATTTGATACACAGCAATCTTTTAGCTACATGAAGAAAAAAGCCAAGAGATCTAATCTATATTTTGCTCCAAATCCAGTGTTTTGAAAAAGAAGGTCTAGTGACTGAACTTGTACAAGGAGATGGCCTGAGGCCTAGTGAAAGTCAAGGTGCAGTTTCCACTGCATTCAAGAAAACCAGAAAGATAAATAAAACTTTTAGAAGAAACTTAGTTTTCTCTCATTTACATTCAGCCAGTGGGTCTCACACTTGGGGAACTGGTTTAGGCCTGTGTTGTCCAATATAGTAAGCATTAGCCAGCCATATGTAAAATATATTCACAATCATGATCAATTCTCATTAGACCTCCATTCTTCCCAACTCTCTTCCCAATAAGAGTGTAGTTAGGGTTACAGTTTTTGACTATTGAATGCATGATGATCAAATCTGTAACCATGACCTCTGTAGCACAATTTTCTGTGTTACTGATTCCAGTTTTATCTATAAGACTAGGTACAAATATGTTCAAAGAGACAGTGTATTATTTAAGACAACTAATATTTTATAAGGAATTCTCCAGGCCAGAATACTGGAGTGGGTAGCTGTTCCCTTTTCCAGGGGAATCTTCCCAACCCAGGGGTCGAACTTGGGTCTCCTGCATTGCAGGTGGATTCTTTACCAGCTGAGCCACAAAGGAAGCCCAAGCATACTGGAGTGGGTGGCCTATCCCTTCTCCAGCAGATCTTCCCACCCTAGGAATTGAACCGCGGTCTCCTGCATTGCAGGTGGATTCTTTACCAGCTGAGCTACCAGGGAAGTCCCTTTTATAAAGGAATACTCGTATAAAAATACAATCAAGAGCATCAATTTGGTTTAAAAAGCAATTGTTACCTTAGTACCCACTAGGAAATCAAACAATAGAATGCATTCTCTAATATATTTATTTCAACTATATTTTGATACCCTAATGTAATTGAAGGTGATAATACACTAGAAAAAAATTTTAATATATTGGTGTTGGGGGCAAGGTGATACTTGTAAACTGAGTGTCACACCCAGTGAAATACTGTGCATTATTATACTCACTGAATATGATTTGGTTTGTAGTAATTACATCTGAGACCACATATTAGGGTGCTTGATAAAAGGGTTATTATTATTTTTCAAAATAACCTTTCATCTTAAACAAGAGCCCCAATGAGGAAGATCATACAAATTAAAACAAAGGGTTTTACACACTACTCTGATGATTGATAATTTGTAGCCCGAGGCCCTCTTAAGGAAATTCTCTTTCTGGCTTACAAAAGCTGTGGGAGACGATTAACATCATGAGGCCAGTTACAAGAAAAATTGATCTCTAAAATGTCATGGTCTTTCACTCTGTGGGGGCTTATGGATCTGACTTAATATGGCCTGTGCAGGCCCAATTAGAGGGCAAGTCACCTCCAAGTATTTCACAAATTTATGAAGACAGAAGTTATTGTATCTACCATCCTTAAAGCTTCTAGATAGCCACTGAAATCAGGCAAATGGCACAGTAATCCGAGGTGAATGGTGAGGTTAAGGCCTCCACACCAAATAGGTGCAATCAACATATGGTACAATCAAGAACATGCAAAAAAAATCTCAAAATGTGAACAGGTAAACAAAAACCATGGCAGATTCAACCCAGGTAAATGAAACTGCCAGGCTACCAAAAGGAGTTCTTTAAAGGAGATTTAAAGGGGCTTCCCTGGAGAAGGGTGTGGCAACCCACTCCAGTATTCTTGCCTGGAGAATTCCATGGACGGAGGAGCCTGGTGGGCTACAGTCCATGGGGTCGCAAAGAGTTGGACGCGACTGTGAGACTAAACACAAAGGGGCTTCCCTGGTGGTTCAGCAGTAAAGAATCCGCCTGTAATGCAGGAAACTTGGGTTTGATCCCTGGGTTGGAAGATCCCCTGGAGAAGAAAATGGCAACCCATTCCAGTCTTCTTGCCTGGGAACTCCCACGGACAGAGGAGCTTAGTAGGCTACAGTCCATGAGGTCTCAGAACAATTGGTCACAACTTAGCGATTGAACAACAACAAAGGAGATTTCCACAGAACTCACTTGCTCTGCAGGAGTAAATCAATCTCAACTGGTATATTTTTATTCAAGCCATAGCTAAGAGCTTGATTAACTGGGAAACAGTGCAGTTAAATGACATTACATTCCTTATGGTCACCACTCCAATTTCAGCATATGCATAGAGAAATTGTATATGCCGAGGAATGCCACTAAACTAGCTCCCAGGAAAATCATTAACCTTTGTAAGTAATCTTCACTTTCAGGGACAGATTTCAACTTTCACTGTAACAGGGGTTGGGAACAGTCTCTTGGTTGCTTGGTTGTGTATTTTGAGAAAGCCAATCCATTGGCACTTGTGAGGGCTTAGATCATAAACCAACATTAGAAGTAACAGAAACACATAGCTAAAAGTTTTACTTTAATCACAGATTCGAAACTAGAGATTTCATTTGCATATCTTAGCAAGCTAAAAAGACATGTTAAATTTGTAACCAATCAGCAAAAATATGTGCCACACAGATTTTAATGTTCATAATTTAGGATTTATCACATATATTACTTATAAATATATCCTTTATTTGTAAAATTATTATTCTTAAGACATTTCTTTCCAACACAGTTGAAATTATCACATTTTTTAAGAAAAAAATTCCACCCTATTTTAAAATGTACTACTAAACTTCAATGTGGGAATAAATCAGTGCCACCAAATTGAAAAAGAAAACAAAAAAAGAAACATACTGCTGTGTTGGATATATATGCAGTTGTTACTACAAATAACAACACACGTCCTGTAAGGCAATCATATACATACTCTCGTTTCACTTCTCAGTCATTGTCAGAACCATTTGGAGGTAGGAAAACCAATGCATCATTGAAAACATGCCCAAATGCCCTAAGACGGTATACCCCATACATCATTACATGCATCTGATTAGGTGTCAGTCCATTAAAAGTAACAGCCATATCTGAACAACATCCTTCTACTACCTGGTTTGGGTGATTAGTCATTGCCTCTTTAATAAAAAGCCCAACAGATTTGGTGTTAAATATATCTTTTCCTTCAGAATCTTCTGCATTTTCTGCAAACACTCCGGCATATTTCAGGCAGACGGCAAGCTGCTTATCTTCAGATATCTTCCAAATCATCCCTCCCTGTTCAGGACACTTTTCAGGAATACTGAGAAGGCTGTTAAGTCTCTTCATTGATTCTATACTTAAGACAATTCCTCCTTCCATGCTCACATACTCCAGATCTCCAGATTTTACAGTGTGACCTAGATAGAAAGGTTGTGATGGATCCTTTTTTAACAAAAAGTACTTTAAGTTTTCAATAATAGCAAATGTAGTGGGGCGTGCAAGGAAGAACCAGTTGTATTGGTCTCTATATTTATCAAAGGCGTATTTGTAAGCTTTTCTCATCATTAACCACATGTCATTTGTTTCCATGTTAATTGACTCAAACACTTTAACATTTTCAGAACTGAAAAAGTCTACTTTGTCACAGTGATTGGTCCATGTTTCTTTCACTGCAGCCCAGAGGCTCACATCTTTGGGTTTGACAAGGAGGATACAGTATACCCGAAAGCTCTTACTGAGTTCCATGCGTTCATCCTCTGAAATTTTCAAGATGTCTTCTTTATTAGGCGCTTGGAGATGATGATGCTCATGGTGGTGCATTCTACTTCCATGACCAATCCTAATGTGTCCTAACATAGTGATCAAGGCACAGAAAATGCTTCCAAGCATTACACCCTTTAAAAATGAACTGCTTTCAGAAAGCATTTTTCCTATAAAGAAGAAAAAGAACTTTAGGATACTTAATAGAAAAGGATTAGTCTAATGATTTGATAGTTCCCTTATACTTACATTTGGCTCTTAATGTTAAAAAAAAAAAGGCTCCCAGGTTTGACATGGAATCAGTTGCAAATAGTACAAGAGAATCTTAAGAATTTTTTGCTTCCAGTGGTATCTGATTACTGCTAGGTATAACCTGGAACTTTGCAGAAATACCTCACAGCCATAGAATTTTCTGGGAGGCTATTTCTGCACTTCATCTATGGGGATTTAATTAACCAAGTACTGAATTAAAGCACTGACCCCAGACACCAATGTTACAGAGGTTGTCTGTCCATCATTCTCTTCAATGGAATTTTGTTCCACAAGCTTGCATTATATTATTTAAATACCTCTAGCTAAAAATGGACTTTTACAAGAAAATGTTAAACTGAACAAATAAAACCACTTACAATTGCTATATCACCACTGGTATCTGTGCTGGCTTTTGTTCTCAATCTAATGCTTTATTTAACCGATGGCTGCTATCAGGTGTTTTGAGTGCATCTAAAGCAAGTTTCTTGGAATTGATACCATATTTGTTAATATTTACCCTCTTATGCCTAAGACTAAATGATTTCCAACACAGTATCTCAACTAACTGATATAATAAAAGCCCATAATGAAAAGAGTTAAATTATTTGGATGAGAAATGAGTCAATATAAGGCATATCTGGGGACCATTAATGAACGTTTTTATTTCCTTCAAAGGCATCTGTTTATTCTTTGGGGAAGTAAAAAGTCTACACTTTGATTTCAATTAGAAATTAAAAGAAAAGTCAACATTAAATACAATTGTTGAAAATTTCCCAATCTCCTCTCCATCTCCACAAGGAATGTTCTGAGCTACTTAGATTTTTCCCTTAGAAGATACTTAATGTCACTTTTCTCATTTTACAGATAGGGAAACAGAGGGTCCACAGAGGTTAGGTAACTGACCCAAAGTCACAGTTAGTAGTAGAAATGAACTAGAAATCAGCTATTCTGACATCAGTTTAATGCTTTTTCTAGTACAGAATAATGACCTCAACAGTGCTTTTATCCATATTATTGATAATAAACAAGTTACTGAATAACCCTGTTTTCCTATAAATGAACATGTAAGATCTGTTAACCATAATTTAACAGATCTTGCACCTAACATCACCATACTGCCTCAAGGACACCATCCCTTCGTTTTAGAGGAAATGGACTTTGACTTCCATTACCTTTGAAGGACCAGGTGTGGAATAGCTTGACAGACGTAATTCTTAAGCAGGAGTCGGGGAGTGGGGAAAGAGACAGGACAGTTTTTCTGTGTCACTCACAGAACTTGGTCAACAAACACAGCTCTAATAAGGAAAAGAGAATTGACAGGAAACAAGCAGAATTGTCAGATGCACTGCAAAATGAATTCTTTTATATGTCTTTGGCATTTCATATTATTTCTGGTCAATATATGATAATTCACAAGTGTTTCTTAGCTTGATGATGGCATATGGATTTCAGGATTCTTCTTGATGGGGATACTACTTATAAGTCATTTGCACAAATTTTCCTAAGGAGTAGCACATGATATGTGATGCACATGATAGGATATTTGATGCAGAGGGGAGGGAAACTTAAAACTGCACATGGGCACAAACAAGGCAGAAACCACCAGAGTGGTTTTCCAAACGAGTCTCTTTAGATGAAGGTGGTTGCGGTGGAATATGGAAAAGGGAGGAGGATGAAATGAAGAACAGAAGTGAGGGGGAGAACATGGTCAACCCAAGACCCCAAGGAGGGGCAGAGGGAGCGCCTCTAGAAAGCTGGCGCTCAATCTCTCCCCCTCACGGTTCCTCCCACTGGACCTGCCTGGGCACCTCGCGCGGAGCATGCTGGGAGTGAGCCAGGGCCCAGGCCTACCCCGGAGAGGGGCGGGGTCGTTCAGGGGGCTGCTCCCCGAGCAGCTCCAGGTGCGGGCCTGAGCCGCAGCACTCACCCGCGTCTAGAACGGCTCAGGGGCGGGAAAGCGCAGCCGCGCACAGGTTTCCTCTCACGTTCACGCGCCACTCGGTTACGTTCCTGGTCGGGCTGCTCTAGATGCAGGCGGTGTCCTCTCGTTGGTTTCGCAGAAGGTGGGGAGGGCCAGGAAGTGGCCGCCACGACGGCGCGGGAAGGGGGCGGGGCAAAGAAGCCCTCGGCCGGGCGGAGCCTCCCGTCGCACCGACGACAGAAGGGCCGGCGCGCACGCAGCTCGCCTTTTCTCCCCGCCCCCTGCCGAGTTCCGAGAAGCGCGTCGGGTTGGCGTGACCCGCACGCCGGCCCAGACCAAACGGGACGCCCAGAGAGGCGTGCGTGCGCGCGTACGACCCGCCGACACCTCCCACCATCGCACCTTCCGGGCGTGGAAACTGCGAGAGCGAGGTAGAGCGTTCCGTCTGACCGAGCTCGTGTCAGGTCTCTCATTGGTTTCTCTGACGAACTCTTGAGACGTTGCACCAAGAGGGTGCTCCATCCAGTACCCCTGGGCTGAGTTTAAATGCAGACCACTGAAGCAGTCACCAAATTATGAGGGCAGGGAGTCGCTAAGGTTATTGGAACGGTATCTGAAGCCCCACGGTCCGGAATCCAGTGCTGTCTTCACCGCGTCATTTGGTATGCTGGGGAGGTTACTTCACGTCGCTATGCCTCAGTTTCCCCCTCTGTAAAGTACAGAAAGTATCACGGTAGTGCTGTCTTGTAGAAGATTAAATGAGATAGTGCCGTTGACTCTTTATTAGCAAAAGACCAAGCCTAGAATCAACATTCATTAGCTGTTAGCTGTTAACGCTACTCACCCCTGTATCACTAGCCTTAGTACCAGCACGCCGTGGACAGTATATATTTGTGGAATTAATGAATGTTAGAACAACAGATGAGGAACCAGCACCGGAAAGGAAGGGTAAGGAACTTTCTAAAGATCACAGAGTAATTAACGGCAGAAGAGGAACTAGAACTCAGGTCTAATTACAAGTGTAGAGCTCGCTTTCTGCTAAACATGTGCGCTGTCTTAAAATTCATTTTTGTGACATAAAGGGGTTTTTGCTAAAAAGCACAAAATATTACACACTTTTTAAATGTATTGTCACCAGGTTCCATCCAAAAAACTTTGAGTGGTGATTTACCCAGCCCTGAGTTCCTAAAGACATGTATATTTGAGTATTGGCAGTGACCCAGTTTAAGTGGACTGAAAGTTTCAGAAAGCACTGAAATAATGAACAAATAGATTTTAGGCACGCATTATCCTGGCAGCACTACCCTAAAATCTGGAGATACGGTGGTGAACAAAATTAGCCTTTAAGGAACTCTCAGTATAGCTGGGAAGAAAGACATTAAATAACCCATTACAAATACATGGTGCTACGTTCTCCAAAGGAATACAAAAATAAATTTTAGAACTGGAAAAGAGCTTAAGGCTGCAGAGTATCTCCACTATATTTTGTTAAATGACATACATTGTCTATTGTCACATATGTATTAATACATGTGTACTGACTAAACCGCCACCACCTTACGTTTATGTGTGTGAGGTGTGTATATGTGTGTGTCCGACTATGTGTGTATATGTCAGACTCTGCAACCCCATGGACTGTAGCCCACCAGGCTCCTCTGTCCATGGAATTCTCAGGCAAGACTATTGGAGTGGGTTGCCATTTCTTTCTTCAGGGGATCTTCCCAACTCAGGGATTGAACCTTGGTCTCGTGCATTGCAGGCAGACTCTTTACCCACTGAGCCACCAGCGATGACCTATATCTATACACACACACACGCACGTTTAGTTAAGTGAAACAAGTTGCAGAATAATGTGTATGGTGTGATTATGCTTTGCAGAAAACAAACAATTTTATATATGTGCACATATGTTTGATCTGTTGGTAATGAGCAAAGGGAGTTGTGGAAGGCTCAGCAGCCTGTTAATACTGATCACATCAGGAGGTCGAGGTGTGAATGATTAGCCTTGTTTTTATACATTCTTCAATTGCATTGTTTGCATTGTTTCACTGGTCATAACAAGCATTTGTTATTTTTGAATCTGAAGAACAGCAAATAAAGGGATCTTTAAGATTAGAAGGAGAAAAAGAATGAGGGAAAGATACCAATAAAAATACTTTCAAAGAGTGCAGACAACCAAGCTCTCCTTGCAAAAAGGGACCAAGGAAAGACAGATAAAAGTGGCACTCAGGATTCAGACAGTGGCACAGAGTCAGTTTAAACCACTGCTTCTTTCTAGTACTGGAGGGAATACCAAACTGGAAATACTGATACAAGATGCTCTGAAACAATAAACCACGGAATTTTCAACATCAGAAGCGCTGCAGATGAGAGGTTAAGAACCCAATTCTCTATTTAAGGCAGTTTTTAAGCATACTTAGCATTTGAAGTGAGACTAGTGAGATGGTTGACTTGTAGTTAGGTGATTGCATTTTTAAAATGTCATTCCTCATTGTAGTCCTAATTTAAAAAATACATGCAAGTTTCTGCTAAAATTAAGAATATTTATAAATATTCTTTGGTTCAGCTAACCCTCTTCTTGTAATCGCTCCCCTAGAAATTAAAGCACCAGAATGTAAGGCTAAATGTATATGGTCAAAAGCATTGTTGTTTTTAGTAGTGGGAAATATCCATCAATGGTTGAATTAATTAAAGTGCCTCCATATAGTGTAATATTAAGCATAAAATAAACAGCTTATCTCTCCTCCACTAAAGACTTCACTAAACATACTAACCTGCACCTTGTCAGGGTGGAGAGGGTTGCTTTTAAATTTAGTTGCCTGCGTGTACCCAGCAGGTAAGGCCAGACTGCATTCAAAACTGACAACACTGCGTTATTGTTAAAGTCCTCCTGCCAAATGCATGTATTATTCAGCATGAGGAGTTATTAATTTTTAGTAATTGGCCATCACTTGCATTTGAACATTCCAATTTTTGAAATCTGTCCAAAGGC